CTCAGGAACGTGCACGTCACACACACACTCTCAGGAACGTGCACGTCACACACACACCCTCAGGAACGTGCACGTCACACACACACTCTCAGGAACGTGCACGCCACACACACAACCTCAGGAACGTGCACATCACACACACACTCTCAGGAACGTGCACGTCACACACACACTCTCAGGAACGTGCACGTCACACACACACTCTCAGGAACGTGTACGTCACACACACACACTCAGGAACGTGCACGTCACACACATGACCTGGGCCTCATGATGTATTTCTATTTTAAACTTTATTTTTCATTGATCTTTATTTATCCAGGTCGACTCATTGAGTCACGAGAACTCATTTTCAAGAGAGACCTGTTTAGGAGCAGATGGTGGGGGTTGAGTGCCTTGCTCAGGGGCCCAGGGTGGGGCCAATGAGGGTGGAGGCAGGTGTGGGTGTTTCACCTTTTCCACCTCATTTTGATGTTGACGGTACCGGGAGTTGAACCTGCGACTTTCCCATCACAGGCCCATCTTGTAACCTCTGCTCCACCACTCCCCCACATGACATCATATCATGATGGTCGTATTAAAATCTGGCAGCACGGTGGCGCAACTGGTAGAGCTGCTGCCTCTCAGCGAGCAGGTCCCTGGTTCAAATCCCGGGCCAGGGGCCTTCTGGGTGGAGTTTGCATGTTCTCTCCGTGCATGCGTGGGTTTTCTCCGGGTACTCCGGTTTCCTCCCACAGACCAAAAACATGCATGTTAGGCTGATTGGTAATTCTAAATTGTCCCTAGGTGTGAGTGAGAGAGTGAATGGTTGTTTGTCTCGTTTGTCTCCATGTGTCCCTGTGATGGACTGGAGACCCGTCCAGGGTGTCCCCCGCCCCTCGCACAGTGATTGCTGGACATGGGCACCAGCGACCCCCGTGACCCGAAATGGAAGAAACGGGTAAAGAAAATGGATGGATGGTCGTATTAAAAGCTCACTGGTTTCCTTCCAGATGTGTTAAACAGCTGCTGGTCCCCCTGATGTTTGCAGGTGTGTGTGGTCAGTGGATGAAAAGCCTGGCATGAACAAGATGATGCTGGAGATGATGATTTGACGAGAGCTCCCACCTTCTACCTGTGAAGAACAAGAGCAGCTCAGTGAAGGTGCTGAGAGCTGCAGAGAGGCTGATCCATGGAGCTTCAACACAGCAACCTCCAAACATGGCCACCCTCACA